GTGTGGAAGTGTCATGATTGGAAATGTTAGCAAAATTTGCAGTTTAAAAAGAATAAGTTTGAGATCTAATGTCCAGAACTATTTGTTTATATTGTTACAGACTATAGGTTTGAGAAGCGACGTAGCTGGTATCGACTACTTTAGTTGAAGGGATTATTCTTCTCTATATAGGCATATGCACGAGTGAAACTTTACGTCCTGCAGCAAAAAATACCAGAGATTTACGTATTTACAACATCGCATGCTTCGTGACTGAGAAACGCGGAAAAAAAACTTCTTTTTTCAAGATGCCGATGTATAAATATATATGAAGTCATTAAGCAAATCGCCCTTACTTGAAATATCAGTGATGTCGCAACTACCAGAGAAAAGCAATGAAAAAGCTTGGTTAAAGGGAAGAACAATTTAAGTTATTATATCCCACACTGCTGATTGATATCCATAATAAGAAGTTTATCTACACAAAATCAACAACGGTGATTGTTTTAGTGCAGAAGATGGAATATGAGAGAGTTGCCGTCAACCTTAGAAACATGGTATATTCGTTTTCATCACACCATCCTTTGGATTGCTGCAGTTCTCATTTTATTACGAAAGCCATCAGAAAATTTTGGTGACATGAATACATTGCTATGTAGTGGAGAATAATTAAGCGTTTCAGTTGACCATTTTAGAGTAGAAGAATGCCGATAAGATGCAGAAACTGCTTGATAACGCGATAGCTGACGCCTGTACAGCTCTTCAAATGTTGCAATATGCGCCAATCACATTGCTACATCAATTTACGCCATAATTCTGTAATTTCATTGTGTGTACTTTTCTACCAATTTGTTAGTCCATGCAGAACTGACAAAGTAGCTCAGCCCCCTTTACTCTCACCCTAGTTAAGGGTCTTGTTTATCTCCACTTTAACTTAAAATGAACCTATGCGAGACAAATAATTACTGAAAATAGAGCGGATTTTGCATTGCACAACATCGAAAATGAGTTTAAAAAAGATTTAGGTCTAAAAGTGTTTAGAAGTTGTCTAATTGTAATGAATCTGTTCTTGCCTTAATGAAAAATGGAAACATTGAGCAGATATCTATTTGCATATGACTACACAAAATAAGTGCAATATACAGTTCTCTTCTCTAAAATTGCATCTTGTCAGCATTCCATACTTTTGAACTACTTTTGATTTTTATAATTGTGCGTTTAATCGTCCTCCTTCTGCACATAACTTCAAAAGGCGTAACTGCTTGGAAGTTTCATAGAGAAAAGTTGGCTGTAGAGCTCGACGCAGCTGAACGGCTGATCGCCAAGCCCAATCTATGATGGAAGAATGGGATGAGCTGTCTGAAAGCAAATCTAATTATTCGGATAGAGACATAACGCAAAGAATTATTCTTCATGTCTATGATGACGAGTCTAAGGAATTCACCTCACTTACTACATATCATGGGATGGTAAGATCTCTTTGTTTAGAAAGCACAAAAAAGTCTGCCACTTTGATTTAGATAAGAATCTATTCATCGGAAACATGGCCCTCTCGTATATTCTGGTCTTTGGTAGTTGTAACATGCCTGACGCTATTCATGATGCATGTGAGTCTATTTTCAACGATTTCTAAGGAACTTCTCCAAAAAACCACGCTTAAGCAACTTTTGAGCTTATATTACTCATTAGATCCGTACGGACGCCAATAAATCTTTTTATGATGGTTATTTCGGTAATATGTTCTTCTCCAACATTACACCTCTCAGAGCGCTCTGATGCTTCTCTTTTACCATTCACATCCAACATTTTTCAAAACTACTGATATATTGATAAGCAAAGAAGTTTTGCCCACAATAACGATATGTAAAGTGGGAGGTGCGCAGCAGTGGATTAACTACATAGGTGTGGACGTCTTTACCTTTGTGCCTATTGTTATTTGAAAGTTGTTTATTACAGAACTGCGCCATCGAAAGGATTTGTTGGCTTCATTTGACAAAGTGCTTGTTGGTGGTTTCGTTAGCAACAGCGATCTTGAGAATCTTGCTTTTCTAGAAAACATTTACGCGAACACGACAGGAAAAAAGTTCCATTTGAAAAAGTTTTTAATGGATAACAGGTGACACTACACTTTTTTTCTAAACTTCTCAAAAACAAATTAATCGATTTCTCCAAGAACACCTTGCGAGCCGATTGTGACATCTAAGCGTAAAGTCAATCGAATCCAGGGAGATGATTGTCAGCAAACCCACTATACTGCTACTCCATTTGGCTACTGTAGCAGTTTTAAATGGGAACTCTCTTCGCCCTCTTTACATTCATTTCGCAAAGATGTAGTTAGTGAGGCAGACGGTAAGGGTGTACTGCCCGGAAACTTCTAGTGATCTTCTAGAGTTTATTCCTTTAGAGCTAGTGATGATCCATGTACATCGGCCTACTTCTACAAGACCTCTCAATTCTCATGGTATCTATGTTCCTCGAGGAAAATCAGCAAAAATAGTTCTACAACCCATAAAAGTACATTTAAACTTTGCACTCATGAGCACTTACATAGTTTGCACAGCTGATTCATCATTGATTCCATAATACGACCACTTTTACAATTAGCCATGGTAGGTTCGGTGTCCTTAGCCATTCGAGTCTATTTTTTAGAGAATGAATCTCAAGGCTGGTGATTGGGGTGAATGTATGACAAAGCCCGTTCATGGCCAGACTCACTTAAGGGTTCCATACAACAGGGACGATTGCGAGATAGACTGTCTCGCACAGCATTACGAGCTGCAGTAATGCTTTTCAATACATACTTATCATAGTGGTTTTCTGCTCATTGCTACTTAGATTATTCTCATTACCTATTCAAATTTTCCAGCTGTGAATGCTCTCCGTTTTTTGCTGATTCACAGGCTAGGAGACCGTGTACATTGACAGAAACGGCTTTATGTCGAAGAAAACGTTAGTAAGCAGAGCATAGCAATAGTTTTTTCTGCGTGAAATCAAATGCGTTTTCAGAAAGACTAGCAAAAGATTGTCATTGTCCTGTTGAATGTGAAGAAATGGACTACAGGTCATTAGCTGTATCTTACAAAAAGAAAAGCCAAAGGTAACATAGTTTAAAATGTTGATCTCTATGAAGATAACAGCTTAGGAGGTTTCGGTAAGCCCTTCGGATAAGATTTTAAACAATAACTCATACAGTATTAGAAGTTGGAAATATTCAGAACCTCCACTTCTCCAAGTTTACACCTAACAGCCTAGTTTAACTTGGAGAACAGATATTACATGACGAGTTTTTCATGCAGGAACCTCTCATCCATTGAAATACAAATGGAGTCGCGCCATTTGCGTTTGGATGAACAACTGAAGCGAATCAAGCCTGTAGATCTGCTGAGTACGTTCTCATTGAGCGGTTCTAAGAAAAAAAGCAATCGTTGTCTTAATCTGCAGATCAGTATAAGATTAAGTCAAATCTAGTTCACTTTCAGATCTCCCACTTTCTTAGGTTATGTTGCTGGCAGCATGGGTCTCTTTTTGGGTATGAGCTGTGTTACTCTACTAGAGATTTTCATTTACTTGTTTAAAAGCGTTTGGGGAGTTTTCAACGACCAAGTAAGTTAGGCAACACTGTCAATCTAAAAATGGATTTTTACATTAATGAATGCATGATACATCTGTCAAAATGATGCTTGATTCAGAGACATAAGACTTATTATCTCGAAAATTTGCTGGGAGTAGATGACACCGGAAGTTCTGATGTATCGCAAGAAGAGATTGTAATTACTACGAAATCTCGAAGGTAAGAGAGATGAC